GGAAATATATATATATATATAGTGCAATATGAAGCAATGGTTAAATAAGTCCCAAATTTCGCAGCCAGCTGTTAAATATCCCACCTGGGTATAAACACATTATCTTTTCGTATTATGGGGTTCAGGATTTTTCCCAAATGTTTCAGATGACAACAATCTTGGGTTATTTCGACTGGAATCTAAAGTTGACTCGATATCACGTTAAGGCGCACATGCCTTCCGCACTCATGATGTGATCCGAACGTTTTTCAGAACACCTCCGGTTGTTTTCGTATCAATTGTTGATAACTCCCATATCTGGTCACCCTTTGATATTCAGTGGGACACTTTGTGAAACGAACCAAGATGTAAAGCATAAAAAATGCGTAGTGTTCTGATGAGATCATCTTTATAGCCTAACACAAAAAGACAATGGTCTCCAAACTCTAAACTTTGCAGGAACGCTCCTAGTTTCACAATGTTTGGTTGAACGTTTCTTCGAAACCAGCAAGTTGCAACAACTCATGGAGTTTCTAGCAGACTCATTGCGCATCACATCAGGAAATCGTTTGTGGGTATCACTTTCATTGTATAGCCACTAGGGTCTATGGTGAAGTTTGTTCAGCGACTTTTGTCCCAGAGCCGCAATATGGAAGCCTTTTTGCAGGGGTGATTGTGATTTCTAAAACTCGCGCCATCCGCACCGGGAAAGTTCTGTCCAGACAACGAATTTCACAGCGAAGTTGGTTATCTTGTCAAAGAAAATGAGCTGTGGCAGATTCTTCTTACATCTTATACGCCCAATTATATTAAGGTTTCCAGTTTCAAGTTAGGAAACTTTCAGAATTGTGCCAATAGAGTGTCCGAAAACGGGGAAGGTGTACCAGAGTACATCGGTAGAAAAGTAAAGCAAATTCGATGTCAAGATGAGATGCCCGAAGCTGTCGTGACTTTGAAACGACTGTTGTATACCGCTTGAGTCACCGTACACTAAATGTGGATTGTTTTAGGAGTTTCGGCGAGAGACCTTGAGGGTTGAAGCGAAGTTTTGCAACATTCTGCCTTTTTCGGACAGTTTTGAGAGATGGAAACCCAGCGACGAACCCCAGTTGCACGCAGTTCCAGAAAAACAGTCATTTGCAAACATTTTTGGTTTTAAACAGTGACTTGACTGAATCTCAGCTCAGTCGCTCGTTCATGATATTTCTCAAGTAAATGCGTTACACAACGGATGCTTCGTGTTTTCGATACATCTTAGCACATACTACTCATAGTCCCAAAGAATAGCTCAACCGGTCATGCGTTGTCAAAGAATTCTCAGTATCTTCATGACTGATGCGTTTCGTCTGGACAGCACATTCTATTGGAGAATCTCAGGACTGAGACTGAAATGGGATCCAGCTATCTCCGGTTAAGATCGGTGCCATAGTATAACAGCATATTCATCCACAAATGCAAAAATTATATTCGCTGTGTGGTTTATATGGTTACTTTCCTCAGCACTAAAACTTCATTTTTGTTTGAAAAGACAGTCACGGGGCTAGGTGTGTGTCTGTCCACTGCCAAAAAATCGAATACACGGACGGAAAGACGATCTGGCGATGGGTTACCAGTATCACTCACCACTGTCAGTCTTCCTGTTCGTGAGAGTATTCAGCTATAACAATTTGCTAAAACCGCTTAACAATATATATGATTGTTGACTGTGTGCTTGCTGATCTGGATAATGAGTTTGATTAATAGAGTTCGCAGTCACTCCAGTCTCGGTAGAACAGCCGTTGTCCTGCGTGAAAACAAATAACACCACTGCGTGAGTGGCGCATGCCGGACAGACGTAGCGCTGTACTCGGGTTCCCTTCATACTGGAGCTGTTCATCAGTGCAAGCCTTCGTCATCTACCAGCACGCACTGGGTACACCAGAATTATGATGTCTGAACAGGCGAACTTGTTCGCGCCTAAGTGATGAGTTTGTCGTGTGCAAAAACCTCGAACGATAAGCCGAAACCCTTCTTGATTGAGCCAGTCGGCTGACCCACCTAGACTGTTCGGATATGAGAACAGATTTACGTTCACCTTAGAGAGATGGGCGAGCTCCCCGAACTGGTTTTGAGCACGTCAGACACAGATGTCTATCGACTTCCGTGTGAACTTAATCGTGGTTAAACGCTCCAGTTTAACATCCGGAGTCATGCATCTATGCTCTATTGAGGACACATATAACGAGCAAATGGTATCTCCGAGTGGCGCGTAATACCAGAACCTCCGGAAGGCAAAACAAAGTCGGAGCTGGGTTTCTATACGGTACTATTAGTGTAAGAGAAATTCACAAATTATACAAACCTCGACAGTAGACTGTCGTCCTCAGCAAATGGTGCACTCGCATTACAAAAATATGGACCATATGAGACAGTCACGCGTGCGTAAGCCCGGTAACAAATGGCTGGATGACCTCAAGGCCGAGTGAACGAAGTGGTAAGAACAAACGCCAGTTTACACAAACGCACCAAACACGAAAGTGGAGCAGGGATTACACGCATGAAACGCGGGGAATTTCAAATGTCAAATCAGTGGACGATACAACAAGGATTTGACACGTCCGACTCACATTCGGTGCACTGACGGTCATTGTCCAACCTTTCGAAAAGCAGCTTAGCGAAAACCTGACCAGCCATGTACAGATAGCCAGCAGCAATTTTGACTCCTAAATTGGGTTATCGTACATCAGAGGTCATCGAAAAAAGCGTTATTTGGTTGTTATTTGCATGCAGTGTTCCGCATTGACAACACTTTTTTGCAAATTGCTAAAAGATAGGAAGCTCCCATACCTAACAGAGTCTACATAACCCAGTACTTGAGCCATCCAGACCTCCGTATTTGGCTCACTCCCAACAACCTGTGAATGCGAATTAAAGTGGATAAGGTGCAGTCAAGTATCCAGCCTCAAACGTCACGATTACTTTCACTCGGGATCTTTTTCAGCTAAGCTCCGCCAAAAAATTAACCGCCGCCACCCAAAATAGATTAGAAAATAGAGGATATGAAATTTATACTTTTATCAAAGAGCGTGAAATTGAGACATGTCGTTAATAATATGCATGAAAAAGTCCATTTTTTGGTACCTTTGCCTCCGAACGAACTTACACAAGTAGCTGTCCAATAAAGATCGCTGTGTGCCGCGTTTATGCAGCATCTTGTAGACGCGCCAAGCAGATTCGATGGTTTGTGTGTGAGCTTCAGTCGTTGGATCCACAAAGTTTACGGTATGATTAACCGTTTCATGAGTATAGTTCATGTCAATCATCGTTTCAATTCCTTGGTATGATGACCAAACATCGGAGATGATGATTGAGTCGGGATCGATGCAGGTCTGGATTGTGTCCATCAAAGTGGCCCCAGTTCCATCTGGCACTGCATACATGAAAACCTCTTTAGTTTCCCGGTAGGTCGTGTGGCTAACAGATATTTCCTCTGAGCAGAATTTGATTTTTGCCAAATTTTTGGACGGGCAATAAATGAATTACTGTTCTAGACTCCATCCCAAGTTCCCTTTCAAAGACCGATTTCTTGCCGACACTGTCGGGTATTACACCTCCACCTGTCAGAATGAGTTGAAAGTGTCATTTGGTAGCCATTGTTGTATAAACGTTGCTAATAGATCACTCCGTGGCTTTGCAAGGAACGTATTGGCGTCTCCTCTTCATGACCGAGAGTTGAAAGCGTCAGAAAGTTCATTCAAGTTTTTACGTCCGAATGGGGAAATGTTTTGCCCAAAATGAGCCTAGATGAGGATAATGACTTGTTTTCATCAAATATAGTTCGAGTTTGTGTTCGTACATTAAATTGGAGCTGGCAAAAACTTTTCAGGCGGCTGAATATACCCATTGTAGTCATGAGAACGAAGAAGGTAGCGAACAAAGCTTGTTTTCTGTGATTGTTCATCTTGGCTAATACATCACAAATTTATATGGTAGCAGAAATCACGTGGAAAAGGTTAAGATCGGGGCTACACTTTAGAGAAATAGAAGTCAAAGGAAGGGGGTTGGGTGAGGGGTAGGTCAATGGGTCATGACGTCAATGTCAGACAGACTTGTGGGACCAGATGTTTCGTAGGCCAGTTCAAGTTCAGAGGTCGCACAAGTTTCTTTTGGATGCAAAGTTGTGGATCCAGCAGTCGGATTCCTATCGCCTCTGCGATCGATAGTAGTTTGGATCGTACCAGTCGTGGTCCGTTCAGAGGTACCCGGTATATGATGGTGAAGGCTTGCTCCTTGTCTATGATATGACAGGTTTCGGCCAAGTGTGCTGCAATCGCGCTTGAGCCTGGTTTCTTTCCACTACCACTCAGAGATACGGGATTGTGTTCTCGTATTCTGTCCGACAAATGCCTTGTCGTACGACCAACGTATGATGCTCGGCACGAGCATACGAATGAGTGCACACAAAAGCTCATGGTAGAACGTGGCAATTTGTCTTTCAAGCAGAATCTGATAGTGGGGCTGGAGTTGAAGCTCAAACATAGATTAGCGGCCAAGTATGTCGTATCAACGGAGTTTCTAAGCCTTCTGGTGATTAGTTCAGCAACCGAGTCACCTTTGAATGGAAGCCTCATGTATACGGGCTTCTTTCTAACAGAAAATTCCGTAGGTTTGGGTTTAACGGCTTCCATAGTCTTCAGTACGAACCTTTCAGGATATCCGTTCTGCAGGAATGTGCGTCCCAAGAACTTTAGTTCCTCTTCTAAGCATTCGGGTGAGCATATCTTCATTGCATGCATTTTTTGCACCAGTGGCGGGGCTTATCTGGAAAAGATCCCTCACTGGCACACACACACACACATTTGGTTTTGACGGGAAACTCAAGTGGATCCATTTGAATCTCCAGTTTATGATGTGCCGTCCCAACTGAATGTGTTGCATCGGGCCGCCTCGCATTTTTGCCATTAGCATATTCGATATGTGGCAATACGTAGTTGTCTGGACGTAAAAAACCGCTAACAAGGTTGCTGAAAATCCTTCGACAACCCACAACTGGTTTCGCCTTTTCTGGTCTCATCAGTGGCTGCAGTCTCCGAGTTTCCTTCACATATTTAGACAGCGTATTGCAATGCCTCTCGAAATTGTGCACCTTGGTGCAGCACACTCGGCTGAAGTGGCCAATCATAAACGAGAGATTCAGTGGAATTGAGTTGAGTCTCTTGTCAAAGTTAAATCCGTGCGCAAATGCGAGTATTTGTCAGTATCTGTCCAATTTTGTTTTAAGCAGAGCCTCAAGAATAGCGAAGCCGGTCGTGGGCTTTCGGAGTGTTTTCAGCAAAATTATAAACAATGTCTTGTGTTTAGGCAAAGCTGGGAAGCTGGAACTCAGACGGTTTATAAGTTAAACTCATAATTTATCATTATTGACAGGAAACTACATTTTAACACAGAAATCCAAAGAACTAACTTGTTGTCACAAGAAAGCACATACCTTCCAAACAGACGTCATGAAGATGAAAAGTGAATCACAATTCAACATGAGACTGCCACATGGAAAATATCTTTATTCTGCGGAATCGAATGAAGACCGGCTGTCTAAGGATTTTCAGCAACTTTATGAGTAGTGCGTCACGGCGATACTGGCATATCGTACTATCTGAAACACGAAGCCACCCGGTAAAGCACATTCATCTGAAAGATGTCAAATGCTAGAGATTTAGTTGGGTCTTCAATGAAAGCTAAATGGGTTTGAAAATGAATGTATTTCGCCAAAAGTGAGTTTTACTTGTTCCCCTACTTAGTGACTGTACTTTTACTAATCTTTATATGAAGGCGCTGCTTGTTGGAGACGTATGCAATGTAAAATAGTCCTTCCGAACAACGAACATCTCCGAAGAGCGGCCCAGCTGATCTTAGTTACGGGGACACACTCTATCAACCATTCAAGCAGAACGTACATCAAATTTCGATAGTAATAGCAAAGATGTACACTGAGGCTGGCTTAGAAATATTATGCCTCCGTTTTAGAACACCTGTAACATAAAAAGCCACGTAAAAGTCGCGTCTATCATCCTCCCCATAGGAAAAGCCAATAAAACTTTACCGGGACACAAGTAGCTTAAAAACACAACCGAAATTTGCATCAGGGATTATCGTGTGCGGGTGCACTGGTGAGGGACAACTCTGGTGTCAAGGCATGTGTGTTTAATGGCTGACACTGAGTTGTATGACAACTTAAAGCCCTTGACGTTCACCTCAGATGAAGTAATGATTGCAAAATTGTACCTATCCATCAATTATGAAAAATGCCACTTGACGCAACCTACGAAGCGTATTTCAGAAATCAACCTTACCGCAGAAGAGACCGATTGGTAGAACAGGTTATCAGTCGGTCCTCTGAAAAGGGAACCCCGTAACCACATATACTGTTAGAAGAAATCACTTCCGACTTGCTTGACTAGGCAAGAAAGCTTGGTATACTTTATATATATATACTTTATATATATATATATGTATATTTACGTAGTACAATTGATCCAACTCTAAAGTTTTCCTGAGATAAACTCAAAAGGAGCGAACAACAAATGGTTCCCTCTGAAACGTGACCCATAAGGAGGGGGTAGTATCTGTGTGCCGGTAGTTTAGAGGAACAATTTTGTATTCACGTCATTGGCTAGCTGGTGTGAAAAAAGAAAATCTGACACCCTGGATAGTATTTTTTTTCACAACGTGAATATTGAGATAGGCTCATTTTGGAACAGGATGGGGAGGTGACCTTTTTCAAAAGACATCAATCTCGAAGCCAGTCACACGGAACCGGTAGAAAGTGCTCCTAAGTGGGTAGTGTTATTCTCTTGAAGGAGACTGGTTCAGGGGCTTTTGTGTACAGGTGTTGCTCCCACTCTTATGAAGTGAAGAAAACGAATTGAGAATAGAGCTGTTCAAGCTTACAGCCGTATGAGAGTGAGTAACCTCAACTAGGCTCGTTAGACGGTGACAGTAGTCTCCGTAACTCTGGAGTTTGAAATCAAAACACAGTGCAGTGAAATAAGGTGTACCAGCTCGACGTCTTGGTTGATGTGTTGGACCTTTATCAAGGATTTTTACAATTAATTGGATATGGTCAAAGTGTAACGTTATTTGAGTATGCTATCATATTGTCTGACTGGCTGTCGGGTGGACCAGTTTGCGTGGGTGGGTATGTGTTAGATCTATACCCGTGTACGCCAACAGATCCCAAATGAAGATCAATGGGATTGTAATAAATGTAACGTAAATAGAGGCAAGGTAAGGTGAGATAACGGCAATATGATGCAATTTAACTGCAATTTTAATGCAATGTAATGAAATGTAATGCAATATAGTGTACCATAATGGTGTGAGGTAATGTATATCTCCCACGGGATACTACAATTGTTTGTTGGACCGAAATTAACAGAGTACAAAACACGGCTATACCTGTATATTTGTAATGCACTACTCATAAGGTTGCTGAAAATTCGTCGACAGCGCACGACCGCTTTCGCCCTTCTTGGGACACATCAGGTTGGCACAGTCCCAGAGTTTCCGACAACCTCATGTTCTACTTGAAACCAAATTGCACGAAATTAGCGAATATACATTCATTTGTAAATTAATTTGGTTTTGAGAGAGACTCACCTGGAACCCAGCTGAATCTCTCGTTTGTGGTGCCTCCGGGCAACTAAGAGATTAAGCAACGAGAGATTCAGCTGGGTTCCAGGTGAGTCTCTCGAAAAACCAAATTAGTTTGCAGATGGGTGTATATTCGGGGCTACACCTGTTTACTTATCCTTAGCAAAACGATATTTGGGAATCAAGGCGCAGTTCGGAAACTCACCTTTAATAGCCCCTCAACAGAAAAAATGTGTTCATTTAAATGACAATCAACATAAGCCGAAAATTATCTATTCAAGAAAAAAGCCGGAAAATATAGGTTTGGCTGGTAGGACACAAAACTTTGTAAAAAAAAAAGCAGTGATCAAAACTGTGGATACGAAAAACGGTCGAATGCAGGAGCAAAACCTACATAGAATAGTTTCGCAAAATATGCCAGTAGGCAAGTGTTTAAGACAGTATCGCGATATTCTGTCTTGGTGAAAGTTAACTACTGGTTAGCTAGTTGTGGCCAATTAGCGTGGTTCGAAATCCCTTGGGAAAATTAAACAGATTCACACTGGTGGTACTTCCCAGTAAGAAATAATACAACCGTAGATCGTCCCGCTGAGTTTCTGTTTGAGTTGGTCCCAGGAGGAGATCTCAACTTGGCTTCGTTAAAACCTAATCACCTTGTATTTTTCTCGTTTAGGGGATCAAACGGCAGCACGGCCTCAGCTCTGGACCAGTGAGTTCAAGCGTCCTGAAAAATACCACCAAGTTATAAAGGTCTAACCAACATTTTCCTCGGTGATCGTCAGAGGAAATATGCTAACTCATCTAGGAGATGTGTGTGTGTGTGCCTCTAATGATTGTTAAATTGGTCCCATCAACCGTGCTTTTGTCAATTCGTGACTGGCAGGCTGGATTTCCCGACCAGCTGACGGACTTACTGACGGTCGAGCAAAACCCCCTGCAAGTTTCAAACGTCAACGGTTTTTAAGAGTGGACATGGTGTTGTCATCCGTGACAGGAGAGAGAAAATGAGTCGATGAAGGGTTTGACAGTATTCTACTGCTTATTCTGATTACTTCAAGAAACATTCAACTTGTTAAAATTTTCTTTCGCATCCTACAATTGCTGCTATCGGTGCATCAGATGAGTGAAGATAGAAAAAGATTTGGACTTGTGCACGGTCGTAGAATCGGTTGCATTCGGAGATGTTAAAACCCAAAGTTTGACAGGTGAAATTCACTGTTATTTACGTAGCCAGGTATACAAGACCTCGGGATGTGCAGACGTATCGTATTACTCACAAGACTGCTGAAAATACATCCACAGCCCATAACCGGTTTCGCCTTTCTTGAGGCTCATCATGTAGGCGTAGTCTCTGAGTTTCCGTCAACTTCATGTTCTACCTGAATTCAAATGACGAAGTCCGTCAGGTACATACGTTTGCGTACCAATTTGTTTTTCATGGGAAATCCATCTGAATCCCTCGTTAGATATGCTATTCTCTACCTGAATATGTTATACACTGTATTGCGATATATCGAATAACGTACCATCTGAAACCTGAAGCGCTCTGATGTAGCACATTCGACTGGAGAAAAGTTCCACAAAAGTGAGACTTAGATGAGTCATTAGTGAAAACCAAATTGGTATTGAACGAATTGTAGCGATCTTACCCCCGGTTTTATTGGGAAATGCGATTACTTGACAGGCAATCAGTTCTTGCATTCAGACATCTGACTTTGTGTACGTACAAACAAGTGTGCTCAGTTGAGATTGGCAGATTCACAATAGTCTTCGGCATACCAGCGATACTAGGGACACTTTTGTCCAGTATCCATAACCTACAAAATTCAGTTCATACATCTCAGAAGTAACATCTGTTTGTCCTGTGAATTTTACTCACGTCTGTACACATAAAACTCAGTCCCCTCTACCTTCACAAACAAGTACTTATCGTTCTTCATATCGATGCGGCATGAAGACGAACAGTGTTAATGTCATGGTCTTTTGTTCTCGTCGAATAAATGAACTCTAATAAATGCCAATTACAGCATTTGTAAGTGCTCCAGAAAGCTGTCGTCAGAATGCTCATCATCATCATCATCATCA